TCTGTGGTCTAGTGGTAAGACCACCTGCTTCAGACGCAGAGGTCTCGGGTTCGATTCCCAGTGGGGGCAGATTTTTCTGTTCGGTTTGGTTGGTGGTAGGGCTTGTTCTAAGTCCGCCTGGCTAGCTACCACCATCTTACCTAAGTCTGTCGCCATAACAACAATGTTAACAGCATTGTTGTGTTCCGGCAGTTAGAGGTAAGATAGCCAGTTCCTCCGTGGTTGAGGATTCCGGGGGAGCTCGCTTCCACCTTCGGCCTGATCANAAAAAAAAAAAAAAAATAAAAAATTCAAACCGTTTAGATTTCCAGGAGACTTGGCTATTCAACTTCTACTTTAATTAGGTATACATACGTGTTATCTTTAATTAGGTATACATTACGCTATACATGTTATCCACCATAATAAACTAACAAAATGATTCTATGCTACTGAGCTTTAAACGGGCATAGTCCATATTGAGCCATTTCAGAAACCTATGGTGATTCATTCAGCCAGACAATTGTCTCAACCCACACTATTAGAAGATTACAGAAACTGTCAATATTAAAAAGAAAATAGTTAAGTCCACTTTGTTTTGAGGGGCGCGTCCGGACTCGGAGACAATGGCTCCGGACACGCCCTGTCCGCGTCAACTGTCAGGCTACGCTCTGTTTGTCCGCTACGTGTATTGTTAGGCTTGGCTATTTACGATTACTACTTATTACATTACGAGCCTTCGGCTTCTATTCCCAGGACATCGAAAGTGAGGAGAAAGCACGAAATCTACCCAGTTTGTAATGGTAGGAAAAGTATTTGTACCTATTGTAAACCGCAACAGCGCCGTAGCTTCTTGATCTAGAAATAATTTATGACGGAAAAGGTGAATTCGAATCTTGATCAGGCATATCGTTCCTGTTGAGCCATGCCAGAAACTTATGTCAGCTCTTACAGTCTACTATGGTTAAGTACGACGAGTTTGTAAAATTAAAACTCGTTCGTTCATTCGTTTCAGCCAAATCGACGTCCACTGCTGGACAAAGGCTTAGTGTTACAACTTACAACTCACTCAGACTAAGTTAAAAGCAAAATATCTATTATACAGTTTCCCAACCCTAAATTATAACATCCATAAAATTTCAGTCTCTAGACTGAATGTCTATATCGAATCAACTAATTAAGATTTCTACCTACAATCTCGATCTAAATCTGCCAAATCACAATACAAGTCACCTGTTTATTTCGCATGCCATTCCTCGAGCACCTTTATAACCCTCCAGCGCTGCTGGTCGTAAATACCTTCGGCACCCGCGCTCCTACATCAGTTTATTGGCCCTACCCGCAGACCACAATGATAGCGCAGAGAAATCAGGCAAAATTGCAAAAAATATATTTAGAAGTTGCAGACTGCAATGTTGAGTCTTCTAGTGACTTGGCCCAGTCACTGGAAGAAAAACTATTTAAAAATCAAACCAGTGACTTGGCCCGTGGGCCAAGCTAAAAGTGGGCTAAGCCACTGGAAGACTCAAGTGATATTCATAACACATACCTATCGTTAAGTCATGCATAGACGGAGCAACCTATATTATATTTAAGGCAGCACTTTGATTAAGATTCCAAAACGTTGTAAAGATTATTTTAGTGTATGTCTGTTCATCTGTTGTATATTGTAAGTGCTTTTTAAAAGCCTATTTGCAAAAAAAAAGAGTTTTATGTTGATTGTGTTATTAAATAAATACATAATAAACTTGTTGATAGAAAAATTTGGTTACATTTTAGAGTATTAAGCTACACAATCGCAATAACAATCTTTGGGAAATCGCAGTACAATCAGTGAATTACCTGGCTGCTCTTTTCTGTCGGACCGCTATCCGATCTCACGAGTTATTGTAGAACGAATCGCCACTGAATTAATTAACGTTTAACAAGTGGAGATAACCGATGATGGCGGAACCGGCCGGTAGCGGGTCGGACCGACACCACAATACTTTTGGAGGTGCACACCGCGGAAACAGGGTTAACGTAATTTGAGTACAAACTGTAATTGTAATTTTATACATTACTAGCTGACCCGGCGAACTTTGTTCCGCCTTAATGGCAATAAATAAGCAGACTTTTTTTTTAATTTCGAACGGGATAAAAAGTATCCTATGTCCTTCTCCTGGCTCTAAACTACCTCCCTGACAATTTTCAGCTAAATCGGTTCAGCCGTTCTTGAGTTATAAGCGAAGTAACTAACACGACTTTCCTTTATATACCTATATAGATTTTATTATTGTGTTAGGAAATAAATAATGATTTAAATTTCCTTCATTTTTACCATCATAATTTTCAATCAAGCATTTTGTTGATTTTTGTCTTTGCCTCAATCTGCCTCAATTAAAAAAAGTAATTCTGTTAACCCCGCGTGACTCATTGCCATCGTCTCTGGCGGTCTCGGCGACCGCTATCGATCGATCTACACGATCGGCCGATCGTCAAGCGATACTATCGATACATCATCCAATGGTACGGTTGTCAATCTTTTTGGAAAGGGAATGTTTCAACTAACTGTCAGAGATGCTCCACATTTCTTTTATTACCAATAGAAATAATGTGGGCGTTTTATACAGTTATTTGACACTAATAAATTTTATTATTTGACACTGTTTGAATCTATAGGCTGCTTGCAGAATTTAAGAAAATCTAAAAAATGTTTACTAATTTTATTTTATATCGTTACAAAATGTTTTTCTTCCCATAACGAAAGAAAGCGTCAGCAACTAACATCAACTGCAACAAGTAGCAACTGTATTACCTTATTTCTCACGAATGTTGAGAACCGCTGTAGGCATGTAATTGCCCAACAGATGCCGATTTATTGATAAAAAGCAGAATGCCACTGGGATTGATCCGCGATCCTTTGTAGCTGCGCGCGCGCCTAATGCCGGGATAGCTTTGTGGCTTTGTGCAGCTAATTGAGTTATGGACTTGTGGCTCAGGATCGGGGCGGCTTGGTTTGACGGCCGTGAACGGGTTAACGTGTCTTGATAACATAAATGCTTCTGTAGGAAATTAAAATAAGGTTAAAAGTTGAATATAGCTTTTATGGTTCTGGGCGACTTCGTACTNTAAGTTTCATCTTAAACGGGGGGCTGTTACACCTTGAAAATGTTGGCTAAACTGCTGTATTGCCATCCTAACCTGCAGAGTCAGCATTTTCACGATGCAGCGAGCCTGAACCTCCAGTTCGGAGGCGCAGTTCAGACCGGGCATCCATCCAGTAAGGACCTCTAACTTTCGGGCATTCAAAATAGAGTCAGTTCGGATATTCAAAGTAAAATTCTGTGTTAAAAGTAAACGTATTTCAGTTAATAAAAAATAATTGTTTTTTAAAAAGACATTTTAATATCCCGTCATAACAGTACGCTTGGATCCCGTTTTACCCCCTTAGGGGTGGAGTTTCGCAAAATCCTTTCTTATCGGATGCCTACGTCATAACATCTACATGCATGCCAAATTTCAGCCCGTACCGTCCAGTGGTTTGGACTGTGCGTTGATACATCACTATGTCAGTCAGTCAGTCAGTCAGTCACCTTTGAGTTGTATAATTTGGATTGATATTGAGGATTCCTCAGGGAAGAACATTCCCAAAGAACATTATTTACACACTTAGTTTACTCTAAAAGCTTGAGTAATGCACATCTCAAAGGTCAGTAAAATAATTAAACCTGTATCTCTGATACACTGTACCCACATTGTATCACTGAATAGTACAAGCGTTAGTAAACAGGCGATTAGCATGCATATAGCCCTGTCGACGGCAAATTAACTGATCGGCTCAACCGGCCCTTCGTTTGAGCCGCACACATATCTGGCTTATGACACATTAACACTTTATAAATCTTGCAAAAAATTACTCGTCCAACAAGTTTTATAAAAATAACTTGACTTGATTATTATGATGTTTTACCTATCACACAAATTACCAAGTAGAGGTTGTACACATGTTATACAATAAGTACGCAGGTGGTGTAACCCGTAATAAGCTGTGCATATCACGTTTTCTCCCGCACTTACATTGGTTATGGGTGACATCACACACATCAGAAATATTGGCGAATGTGCATCTCTGTTCCATGGTCCCGCCTGCCACGACTCTTTGCGTCGAGTCTATGTAATAATTATATTGTATCTTGGGTAGAGCAGACTTACACATAATCAACTAAATAATGATATTGCCTCAGTGTTTAGTTAAATGTGATTTCGTCTGTATTCGGTATTATTTGAGTAGGTACCTACACAGAAATTAGAAACGACTAGACTCCGGGACCTCACAAACCCGTCTGGCCGTGTGGGGAGTGTAGGCCAAATAAATAAATAAATAATAATAATATAATTATGCTCGTGACTAACATTTGACCTAAAAAGGATACGAACTGCAACCACAGCCTCGCCTAGCAGCCGTCAAATATGATATGAATCTACATACGAGTACATACACTATTTCACAAGCAAAAGTATTGGTAAGGCATTAGTTTCGCTGGATTACTAAAGCAATCAGCGATTGACAAACAACGAAACAATGAAGAAATCAGTCCGCCCACATACCTATCGGAATTAACCAACGTACCGGGTCCGATCCAACCGCGTTCGTGACACGTCCGCGTATCGTTGCGGATTGATCTACGGGCTCTACGGCGCATAGCAAATGATTTATGGCGCGATAGCCAGTTATGGCTGTGATTAATTGTTCAATTATGGACCCAGCTAGAAAGTGTTCGTTCGAAGGTCTGGTAATAAGAATTTTGCTGTATGATCATTTGCGATTATTTTCAATTTATCACGCATTCAAGTAGTAAAATTTAATATCAAATAAAACCTCCGATATAATGGTAACCGATTTTTAAAGAAACATACACATAATTCTTCTGGATTCTGACGAAATCGTACAACGAGATGTTATTTTATACTCATTAACTATTATTAGGAACGAAATAAATATTTTCTTTTACTAATTCAGAACCGTCTCTTCTTTCCAGACCAGTCTGCAGAAACTGCGTGGTATCTCCAACCGGATCATCGCCACCACCACTCCACGAGCACCCGTCATCGCCGCCGCCGCCTGCACCCTCCTCCCCCATCTCCTCCCCCCGCCTCTTGCCCTCCCTCCCCTCCCCCCAGCCCAGCCATAGCGGCTCCTCAGCGCCCAGCCAGTCGAACTCGCCCCATCCATATTCCTACCCGAACTTCAGAAGAAGTCAGCCCGTTCAAGGGAACTACCCCGACTACAATCTCCTGCACAGCCACAGCGTGTCCCAAATAGCCCAGCCAGGGCAAAGTTACCAGTCGCCCCAGTCACCCCAGTCTGCTATGTCGCTGTCTCCCCACCCTGTGCCCCAGGGGAAGTTGAGGGGCCTGCTGGAGCACGCGGAGAGACTCATGAAGCCAGGAGACCCGCACCGGCACTCCCAGAGCGATGATGACTCGGGCTGCGCGCTCGAGGAGTACACCTGGGTGCCGCCGGGGTTAAGGCCTGAACAGGTGAGGAATTTGACATTCTATTATTAATTTCTTACCGGATAGTTACTGGTAGCACCTTCAGTATCATTTCACATCAAATGACATTCATTCAAACGCACTTAGTCTCTAGAAGTCGGTTATTAATAAAATATTAGACAGTCAGCAGCAGATCAGACTTTTCATTTATGTTGCAAAATGCTTTTTAATATTAATGGAAATTTATTCAAATGAATCTTACACCCAACACATTGACTACCCTCGAAATATAGTTATGTGCAGTTCAATTAAGTTACTACTGTAAATTGGGGATTTTTTATTTTCATGCGTATTAAAATATTCTCTCGTTTCCATTCCACTCAACAAAATTGAGTAAAACCCATTTTTAAGCCACCATTATAGTCTTGTTCGTCTGTCGATACAAACCACAGACTTTCCAGGCATTGTGGTGGACAGCATTGTTCGGCGTTTTGGTCATTTTTGACTCATTGTTGGCGGACTTTTATTTCTACCCGCAAATAGCGCGTTTTAAGAGATTGCTGGTTTTACGTCGCGCACGCTTGTTTTTTTAAAGGGCGCAGTTTGATGTGGAGTTGTCGTTATGTGAAATGAAACGTCGCGTTTAGGAAGAGTTAATGGACTGGACTGTTGTGGCTTTGATGCCATTTTTCTACTTTTATACTCATGAAAAAAAACTGGTAAAAATGGATGACTGTTTTAAAATTCCAAAAAGAACGTACTTTACGTATGAACGTGTGTATGTTACAACAGGTTTAAAAAATACGTTATTAGGTAGGACAAGTGCTAAAAACTTAAGACTTTATTGGAGAAAATTGTAGTTTAAATGTTGATAATCTGCTATTAAAATTCATACTGGTCATAATTTTTTAATTTATATCACTTTTTATTTTTTCTTGAGTACTTATTTACAGCTAAACTCTCTCTCTTACAAAAATCTATAAACAATTGATTAATAAAAGCAATGTAGGCAACACGGAAGTCTAACCGAGATAAAATTGGGATATTGAGAAGTACAAGTTTACTTTAGCGTTCGCCGCGTAGTATCGTGGTCGCGATCTTCGGCCCGATGTCCGGACGGCTCGGAAGGCCCAGATTCCATGCCGGGCAGATCATAGGCATACCATAGATAAAGTGCAGGAAGATAAATTATTTCAAGTTATAGATAATTATTTCAATAATGTTCTTTCTGCCTTATCTAAAAGAAAAGCCTTTGGGGAGGCCTTTGTCCAGCAATAGAAGTTATTTGGCTGAAACGAACGAAGGAACGAACTTTAAAAGAAAATGTTTTTCACTTTTCAGAACGACCTAAGTGACATATAAGAACATTTACTCGTAAAATAAGCTTCTTTGTAATTTGAGAGTACTTGAGCTATAAGAACCTCGCAAATCTATACCATTTTTAAGTGAAAAATTACATAATAGGTTATACGACCATTATCAACTCGCTTGTGTACAAAAGAGAAAAACCGTATCACACAATAATTACCGAGTTTAAGTCGTCGCATTACTACGAAAAAATCCCAAATGACATCAATTTACGAATCAAGGCAGATTTCGATATCGCACTACTTTGTCTCTCTCTCTCATTCTGACATACAGGCATGATTGACAAAGATGGATAGAACTTACCAAAGAAATCGTTTTGCAGTAGTTTAGTTCTCGGTCATTATTTGTGCATTACCGCTTTGTTCCGGTAGTTACTCAAAATTGTACTTTTTGAGTTTCTCTGAATCGTTTAGCGATGTTTTGTAATAATGTATCACTGAACTTTTGAAATGAGGATAAGAATATTAACGTGCACGTAAATGTTTATGAACCAACACTGATTTCAAAACTATACTTACCTACCCACTAAAAGTTGTTTTGCTTAACTAAATAAATAAATCATTTATTTGCCAGAATACGGTTACAAATGGTTATAAAGAGAGAGAGAAGTTTCCAACATATTCTATCGTACGAGTACATACGATGTGCAAATATTACAAAAAATTACAAAAAATATGGTTATGTTTTTAATATAAAAAGTAGTATCATTATTAATTGAATGTCATGAAAATGTCAGAAAATGATTATGATTATTATTGAATAGCACAAACATATAGATGACCCACGCTGAATTGTCCCACCAAACTCAATGACAGGAGGGCGCTACCATCGTTCAACTATATGGTTTTCAACATGGTAAAAATCGGAACCACTGGCGCCCCTCTGTCAATTTCATTATTCTGTTTCAGCTTTGATCTAACCCAAAATATTATCTACCTAGTCCTAGAAAATTGTTTGCCTACATTAAAACACCAAATTAAAATCGACTCTTCATTCAACCTGTTCAAGGTTCCTTTAAATACAAAAGGAATTAAAACAAACACAATAAAAGGCCGAATTTAAATTCAAAATGCTCGGCAGCCACGATTTATATGCGCGGCCATTTCCCATAGCGACCGCCGAGTTACGCGGCGTTTATAATTACAACAAAAATAAAGTATTAAGAGACGGAACCAACGGAGCAAAAAATTAAAATGGCCCTTCAAGGCATCGCCACCCCTAGACGCGGGGTTTGAGATATGGCTGCCGAGCGGCAAAACCGCCTATGTAAATATTTCGAAATTATTCATAATTTAAAGGAGGAAAAAATGCTGATCATATTGATTTAGTACAATGACGACTTTCACAAAAGACAATCTTGTATTGAGTTCATGTATCGTATGTATCAAGAAGGACATGTTATGACAACTTCATCAAGCATGACTTGATCAAAGACAATCCCGATCGGCGCAGTGGTGCATGACGCAAATTTCACAATCGAACACCGGAATCGACTCGACCGGAAATCGAACTCGAGACCCCTTGTCTCAAGTTCGATTTCCGGTCGAGTAAGCTCAGAAAATATCTAAATTCACTGACTAGTATTCATAATGTGCTCCCACCAAAGCTTACCGGCCATGACGATTTATACCTAACGTCCTTAAAATAAGGGTAGGCAGGCAATAATCTTGAGCTATTCTAGATAGTCTACAATCTACAACTCGTAAAAATCGTCTCCTACTTATAATCAGGGTGTAACGACCCAGGGGTAAAACTTCATGAGTCACAACTATAATCATAAAATATTGCCTTTTTATCAAAATAATAAATAATTCGTTTCGAAACACCAAAATTAATTAGGTATGTTATTCAATTAAGTACATGTCCTTATCACATCGCATTATGAATATTTCATACATTTTGCATATAAAACAAAGAACAAAAATACCTCTTTTGCGATTTTCACGAGAAACATTGTCTGAAAAATTAAACGGTGCAAATTTTTAAAATTTTTAACTTTAGCGGTTTTGAACATCGGCCTCAGGTATCTTTTGGAAATGAGACGAATTAAGAATTGGCCTTTCTTTCAGCGTATTTTCTTAGTTTGCTCGCGGTTTTAATGACTGTGAGGGTTAAAACTGATTCTGGCTCTCATTTCGGAGATTCTTTCAGGACGAATCTTAATGAACCTTAGCTAAAAGTAACTTACTTTCAGTAAATTATGTTCTCAAAATTTCAACTAAGTATAGCTAGAGTGGTTTAATTTGATTTATTAATTAAATTGGTAAAGCTATCCATATAATTAATAGTGTCAGGCGTTACTTTGCTGAAATCCTTAGATATTAAAAAGACAAAATTGAAGGGGTAAGTGGACAAAGGTGTTATCTGACAAAACTAAAGAATTGACTTTTTTGCATGAACATAGGTTTTTTAAGTGATGATAAAATCGACTAATGAGCTCAAAACACGCAAATTTGGTAGTACGTGTCAAACCTTAATAAAGGTATTATCTGACAAGCATTCATACATTTCAGGATTCAAATGAGCAGATTAACATTCTCAAACACTCATAACTCATTCTGTTAGTTAAGACCTTTGTCCATTCAACCCTTCAATTACTTAGCTTAAAATTTCCTCTTAGTGACGCCGGCACAAGTACCCAACCACTATGTTATAGTACAAGCAAATGCAAGAAGTACCGCTATACTTGTACTATAACATAGTCGGTGGGCGCGGGTAGTGTGGTTACTGGTTGGGTACTCGTGCCGGCGCCGCGGCGTCACTGGCGTCACTAAGCGGAAATTTTAAGCTAAGAATTTTTCACAATTGGAGTAGGAAGCTGTTATATCTTTTCTTAATAAGGCTTCCTACTCCTATTGTGATTGACATGCCAAAGGAACTAAAATAAACGTTTTAATGATCACAAACCACGTAAGTATAAGTATAATGGATAATAGCGTGTCATAAAGTAAAAGTTAGCTTGTCTAGTCGAAGATTTCTAACATTTAATAGAGTTTTTAACGTTAACAAAAAGCTTTTGACATATAGGTAAGTGTTTGTAGACTTTCTCCGTTCATCATGGTGTAAATTGTATGATTTATTTAAGTATTGAAATGGCTGTGAATGTTGATAACCTTGTAAGTTGGTATCAATCACTAAATGGAATGAAAAGAATACCCTCGACGTTAAATTAATACTATTAGGTGATTAGAAAAATACTATGTTTGCTTGCATTTACTTGAATAGGCAAATAAATTTTTCTTTTGATAAGTATTGGAAAATTATTTTCCCAACAATTTTTTCCTATTCGAATGTGATTAATACCATAGGTATTGAAATTAAAACATGTCCAGTAGTTAACGGAATTCTTTTGAAACAAACGAACAAAAAATCAAATAATCTGTGTATTTTTATTTGTGAGGCGCCATCACTGTGCCATCACCATCACGCTCCAGTCCTACCACTGCACTATATTATGTATGTATAGTCCCACGCTTCTGTAATAAGGCTATGATCACACTGTATGTATTCCGCGCGCGTCGGCGCTTCATTACGAGCTATATTAAATACATGTGTAAGCCAACGGCCTGTTTACTGCTAGTTTATGGCCCGTATTTACTTTTATAACCTCGAATTACGAGGTCGGTTTATTAATATTTGAAGATATGGAGGAATTTATATAATGTCTTAATTATTACATTCGAGATACCTTTACCTACTACAGAAGTACTTAGTCAACCAAATACTAGTACTATTAACTTTGTATTGGTGCAATCACTTAAGATTTTTTTTACGATTTTCCACTTTTTAATCCCATGGTGCCATATTTGAAATAAAATAACTTTTTAAATAACAAACATAAAATATTTAAGTAAAGCTGGAAAAATAAAATTATAACTAACTGGGATATTTTAAACAAATTAGTTAAAGTCATTCAATACACCATTAATAATAATGTCAATCTGGTGTAGTGTGATCCGGTCCTAATTTCGCTCGGAATAGATGTAATGAAGTCGGTTAAAAAATATTGTTAATGTGCGGGTAGTTGTAAAATTAATGGGCGCGGTGGAATCCGCACTTGATTCGCAAACGTAACAGTATAATTTTGTCAGTGGCACAGTGCGCGTCGAGTGTTCTCTGAATTACGAGTAGTAGTGTTTTAACAAATACTCCAATACTTAGGAAAATGGGTAAGTCTTTTGAAAATTCCTGTAAAATGCCTACGTGGTGTAAAGTGAAACGTATTAATAAGCAAAATAAGTACAATTCTTTTGCTAACTTTGACCTCTTTAACAGCCATGTTTGCGTTGTATAGTGAAACTAGCGGCCGCCCGCGACTTCGTACGCGTGGATCCCGTTTTACCTCCTTATGGGTGGAGTTTCGTAAAATCCGTTTTTAGTGAGCACCTACGTTTTAAAACGAACTCCCATGCAAAACTTGAGATTCCTAGCACTTGTAGTTTCTGAAATTTCGTGATTGAGTGAGTAAGTCAGTGACCTTTCGCTTTTATAGATAAGATACGAAACGTTATCGTGCAAAATTAATTATGACTGTGTAAAAGTTGACAGCATTAATTAAAGCCAAAATTACCTACAAAAAGTGAAAGTGAAATAAGAATTTACTCGTACCTCAATTACTTTATCTTAGAAGCTCTGAAATTAGCCCCAAATCTTCCAAAATGAAGTTACGTACGTACGTACGTAAGTACGAGGCCACTAATTCCCGTATCGGCGATGTCCAGGGTTCGTTACCGGGGCGATCCTCCGTGATGGATGGGGAGGATTACTGGTTATTGTATTTATGTAGTTCGTGTCCGGGACTTACGTTTAATAAGTCTCGTTTAGTTCGGCTTTCGTTTTTGTTGTGATATTTTGTGATTGGATTGGACGCGCATTTTTGGGGTAGGTGTTTCGCAAAATTTTCACTCACAAACTTGATCGATGTACTATTAACATTATGATTAAGTATTACAAATTCCCTTATTACAAGAAGTTAGACTCCGGTTGAACTCTGGTTTAAATTGACATTTAGTATGGAAATAATGATTTTAAACCGGTATTCGTCGCGGTATTAACTTTTTGTAATAAGGTGACAGTGTTTAGCTTGAAGTGCTGTCGTCTGTCCTACGTAGGTACACCTAGTTTTTATAATAAAGCCAGCTCCAGTTATATAGGTGTGATTGTGATATCCATCGTGCTCCTGCAATAGAAACTAAATGACCCCATGATAATGTATGTATGATACTTACTAACGTCCATATTCATAAACGACGATTGCTTAAGTGACGCAGCAAATCGAATGCACAGCATTGAATAGAGCTCTGTGATTGGTTCGTGTGTCACCCTGGGCGTCTACGTGCACTATGAGACCTCATATTAATGTTTGTGAATACGGGAGTTAATAGCCTGTCAATTTTCTTTAGCCCAAACCTTTTACATCGTATTCCCTCCGTGTTTTCTAAAGTATCTAACCAGTTATGTCAACTATTCCAGGTGCACCTGTACTTCTCCGCGCTGCCGGAGGACAAGGTCCCGTACGTGAACAGCGTGGGCGAGCGCTACCGGCTCAAGCAGTTGCTGCAGCAGCTGCCTCCGCAGGACAATGAGGTAAGTTTCATTCTTTACTACTGCTTCAACCACCACCACGAGTGGCGACTACGGGTTCGAAGACGTAGCGTGGGCAGGCCTCCTACTAGGTGAACCGACGAACTGGTAAGGGTCGCGGAAAGAGCCTGGATGCGGGCAGCGCAGGACCGTTCATTGTGGAAAACCTTGGGGGAGGCCTTTGTCCAGCTGTGAACGTCATTTGGCTGAAACGAACGAATGCTTCAACCACAACAACGCGTGCAGGTCGCCATCGCCGGCACGATCACATGCAAATGCCAAGTCGCGCGGACTATCATGGGTCGCGCGGACTGTCATGGGTCGCGCGGACTGTCATGGGTCGCGCGACCTGTCATTTGATTATGATCGCGGCGGCGATGGCGACCTGCACGCGTTGCCGCGTTGGTGTGGTTGAAGCTTAACATCACTATTCATCATCATTCAACAACCTTTTACAGTCGCCCCTTACAGAAACCAGGGCTGTAGGGTAGTCACCTCTGTTGTACAACACAAATCACAGGTGGCCAATAGCTTAAGAGCTTCGGAAGGCACGTTAAATCGTTGCGTCCGTTTACCAAACGAACATTTTCATTTGAAGTTGCTACTCAAACTAACCACGACCTTTCGCTGGCCGGCTGCTCAGCTTAGCTCAGATGGAAGAGCAGTCGCGCGGCAAGCGAAAGGTCGTGGGTTCGATTCCCGCCTGAGGCAGTTCGATTTTTCCAAGTTATTTAAAACAGTTTCATATCCTTTTCTATTTGAATTGTTACATTGTTTATATTCCTCACGCGTCACCTTATATTTCCAGGTGCGCTACTGCCACGCGCTGTCGGACGAGGAGCGCAAGGAGCTGCGGCTGTTCAGTGCGCAGCGCAAGAGAGAGGCGCTGGGCCGCGGTCAGGCGCGTCAGCTGCATGCGCCGGCGCCGTGCGAGCGGGTAAGTCAATTTGTACCCTATTGCTTATGGAAATAGTGTGGATTTTATTGACATGATGAAACAAAACACTACTAGGTGTACCTAACGTATAAACTACTTAAGTAGTTTTAGGTGCAAGAGGCAGCTTGCATGCACCGGCGCCCTGCGAGCGGGTGAGGAGTGGTCAACTAATTTGTACCCTACTGCTTATGTAAATATTGTGGATTTCATTTGACACGTTGAAACAACACGCAGCTTACTACCAGGCCCCTCTTTCCCACTGGGCACTTTGCTCACTTGCCCAGGACCCCCCGTCTGCTCAATAGACCTTTTTCCAGATGATAAGGTGTGCCCAGGGCGCCTAGAAGGTTAAACACGGCCCTGCTTACTATAGGTGTGCCTAGCGCATAAACCGAGTAGTCCTAGGTGCAAGAGGGGTGTGACATAAGACGTAAACAAAGCTGTCAAGTTTTGCCATTCCAGGTTTGCGGTGGCCATCATATTTTCATGCGCAACGAATTTTACTAAAAATCAACTCTCTCTCTCTCAGTTTTTTTATTTAAACTTTTGCACATAAAAGTGATGTAGGTATAGTGGCGGACTTAAAGCCAGGTGGCATTCTCTATCAGTCAACCACAGGTCAAGCAGAGAAATGTTATCGCATTAAAATACGTAGTACATAGTTACAATTTCATAGGTGACAAACTATACAATCCCAATATTTTTTGTTTCACAAAATAGAAAGCTACGTTTACCTCCTAGGCTCCTAGATTTGGCATTAAAGATCAATAACAAGGCAATAACTAAGATTGAATCAAATTTTGAGCGTTGTCTTGGGACATTAATCCAGGAAATGAACAAAGTTTCCAGCAGATGAGCTACGTGTTTGCAAAATAAACTGTTTCGTAGTCAAACGCGTCTCCTTATTATCAAGAATAATATCTTCCACATTTATTCCCGCCATTACAGCGGCAGCGCTATACAAATGTCGTCAATAATGATCCATATTGCTGGCTCTACGTGACGCGGTTCAGAATGACTTTAACCGCATCTCCCTCGATGGAGTTACTGACGCCGGGACGTGAGGAGAGTGCCAAGGAGGGTAATGAAAACGTAGCGAATAGGGATTAGTTGGGCAATTCGATTATTAAATTAGACAGAAGTTTGGCGGGAAGTTTCAGGAACATGATTGGGCAGGCAGTCTTTTGTTTTCTTTGCGAGCTGCTCTTTATCTTTTGTTTTTAGACTCTTATTTCAAAAATCAACTCGGGACGGTTTGTCTTTTGTTTTTCTTTTCTATCTAAAACTATTAATTCATGATGGATTCAATTCAATATGACGTTAGTTTAATCTTAGGTCCTTTAATGGCTTCTTTGGTGATATTGCAGCAATATCGACAGCAAGGGCGTGCGGTTCATATTATCTGAATTAATAGTTCTCGTATTGTGGGTGTTGATGAAAATCATTGGTTTGCCCGCCAAAATCAGGAAAATAATTTAAATATTATTACTATTGGTTAAACTGATTTTGCTGTATTGCTTACATTACATTTTAGAAAACATCGATATATTGAAATAACAATTGCAACTAACGTGAATCAACTCAAATAATGAATCCTGAAAATAAAACTTACTTACGTTTCTTACAGTTTATTTGTAGAGTGGCCAGTCTCATTCTTATTATAGCTTGAAAACTTTTTTGAAGTTACTTACTTTACATTCCAACAACATAAATTAACAGTCAGGTGCATATTCGAACGGGTCGGTCATCCGTCAAGTTTCTAATAGACCGTCGAGTGCGAGCCGCGTAATTTGTTTACGCGCCCTGTATATTGTGTTAACTTCGCACTCTTTTATTTGCACCCTATCATGTAAGGGTGCGACCTTGAAGCTTGCAAAGGCGGAAAGCGTTTCTGGATAGCTTAGAAGTATCAAAAATATTTGAAAATAACATGTTTGTAGGTTATTACTGTAGAGCCAATACAATATACATTCTGTTAACATTTTAGCTATTTACCTATAATAATCCTCTGACAGCAGAAGCTATGGCAATTAACTAAATGATTTGCTGATAAAAGACATAGAGTAATATTTTTTTACACTTTCCAGTATAATCTCTAGTAACTAGTTGGTACAGAGGATCTTCCTTATCGCTATCACTCTCCTATAAAATCTTTGGGTAAAGAGGATTCTATCCCCACTATCCCTCTCCTTTTATGTTTTTTTGTATAAATTAGATTCTAGTTCGTCGGTCAGTGGGCTTTGAGTGAGTTTCCATCAAATGTCTTCACTAGTGACTGCGTAAAAAAGTAACATTAAATGTATGAAGGATTATACAGCGCCCCTTGCGGAAACGTTCAAGAACTAAAATTTTCATACATTTTAACGCGCTCGCTAGTGACGGCGTTTGATGTAAACTCACACTATGCCCTCAGATCGCTCCGCTCGTCACCATCCTGCAACCCCGCCGTAACATTTTAATTCCCCTGGACATAAATCATACAGTCCCCCGCCGTCTGCAATTGATACACAACATTTTTCTACCCACCGTTGTCTAGTCGGCATTTCGGGACAGGATCGAAGGGAAAGATTTAATGCGGTAGTATTTCCTTGTCTGGAACACACGGTTTTGGCGGTTTTGTTTAAATTGGATTGGAATGTATGAATATTTGGGGTTACTCTGCGGATTTTTTAACTTATGGTTCAATTCAGATAGGTACCTTCTTTTAAAAAGATCTAAACAAATACGGCATCAAAAGAATTTAATTTATCTTGTTAGAAGTTTACTGAACCAAATTGTCGTTTTTCAATCAATAAATACTTCAATAAAAATAAGTTTGACTGTAGGTATAAAGTACCCTAATAAAACGGTAAATTTTAATCAAAGTATTTTAATTTTTACCTCTCGTTTTTCATCGTTATAAAAATTAACTCGTCTCCAGAGACGAACTTGAGTCATCAATTTTTTTCACTAATTAACAAAAGCGTAAAATTTTGCAGTAATCGCCTCCAATAAAACTTGAGCGATCAGACGTCCGGGGTTCGAGTCCCGGACGCGTTTCATTAAGGAGAGCAATGAAATTAAATATGCCCATTAAAGTCTTAAGTAATTAAGGAAGGAAAGAATCGTTTCTAAGTTCTTGTGGGGTGAAATTGTTTGCACAAAGTTTCATAGGTTTGCAATATAATACCGGTTGACGGCACTTTAGACACTAAATTTTTGTTGCAAAACCATTTAGCCACTAACATAAAACTAGTTGGTGTTTTGTAACCCACTGTGTGATTGACGTGCCGTAAAACAGCAAAAATTAGAAGAGACTAACTTTTTATCAAATCAAAAACTTCAAACACAAAATAGAAAATTCAGAAATGACAAACTTTTGAATCTGTACGAAAATTTCAGCATAAGTACATCTACCTGCAGCTTGGCTTTCAAAACTTTTCACTTCAACCACCAAAGAGTTAAAAATTAAAAGCTTTGTAAAGTTGTTGGCGGAATACGATGTCCTCAGGGCACGTCTGAGCGGGGGAGCTTTACCCAGGTGTCATTATTTACTTATTAAAACTTTCAAAATTTAGTACTTGATATTATGCAATGTAGTTAAATAATAGCTACTCGTAATATCATTACTTAGAGATTCTATGGGTGATAAAAATGAAATCAAGCTTCGATAAGCCTGCTAAATTTTAAATCAAAATACCCATTAACTTTGGTGCCTCTTCATCTAATTGAAAGCATATACGCATGGTCAAGCAGAGAAGCTAGACTGCTAGTTCCATCATAATGTCAGTTCTCATTTAATATTACATAAAAATCGATATCATCCGACTCCTCAGAAACTTAATTCTCATTACATTCCGCCTTCACCATAAAGCAAAGTTTACTTAAAACTGCCGTAAAACTGACGGCCATTCCACTACCAACCGCAGCGTGAAATTAAACGCGCGGTTATTAAAATGAAAGCATCAAAATTCCGATAGGGTGGGGGGCAGCACCCCGCGGGCAATTAGCGATTAATGTAGTGGAAACACTTTTAGTCCACAATTGTCGTCTGCCGCTGCACTCTTTGGTTTGGGCTGTGTGTTTCCATTACACGCCTTTCAGACGGGAACTTACACTTGTCTTACTTTAACGTCAAAACAAAACCATTGGCAGCGATATTTTTTAGTTCAGTAAGTAGAGACTTCAAATAAAGCCTCATAATACAGATAGTAAAATATTTTGTAATATTATTTTTTTTGTACTTAATTAGCGACAGTACAGTTGTTGTACAGATCGGTCAAAAACAGTAAAATATTTACCTAAAAGAGTAGATAGGTGGACTCTATCTACTTTTTTCAGAAAAGTCATCGCAATTCCACCTTTTACACGTGACTGACACGAAAACTGAAAAGTCTATATGAAATATCGTGTTACACTGGACACAGTTTCGCTGAAGAGTGCTTGAAATCCTCAGTCAGTACCGGCAGAGTGGTTTTAATGAGACCGCGAGGATCTTTGGCCGAGTTCACTCGCGGAGAGCCTCAAACGACCCTCTGCCTTTTTGAGGCAGACTGCCACTCGAAATTAATAGTCCACTCCGAAATGAAAGGAAAGTTTAGTGGGCGAAATGTATGGAAAATCGAAGGGTTCAAGCAGGATGGAATATAGATTTGTAAATATACTAGCTCCCATTACATAGTTTGGTCTTAATCCGTACGTCTCGCAAACCAAATCGTAAAATCTAAACTATTTTCAAACAGTTTGTTTTTTTTTTCTCCAAAGATTAAATAATAAGCTTCTATAATATCCTACTGTTTGTTTACCTAATAAAAAAATCTATAACTTCAGAAATCTGGTTCCCTTATACACTTAGTCTCAAGTAGGTATTTCACTGCTCTCAGACAAGCACCCTGAAAGGCAATTTAGAATAATTATTGTTGCCAAATTATTCACTTTGCACAACATTTTCTCGCAAGCCTTATTCTACAGTAATTTCACTATAAATATTCTAATTGAAATGCTTTATGTGAAGCTAAGTAAAGGGGAATAGTTACCATGTTAATCTATAGTAAAATATGTTACATCTGCGAAATAACATAAACCCCAGATACCAACCCCTCTCCATATTTTCGCCTCTCCGTAATAATGTTCGCCATTTTTCGCGCAATCATAAAGTTCCCGTGACGTCATAAAGTGCGTTCATGACGCATGAGTCAAACAGGTGGTGTTGGTGTGTGCTCACAACATTTATGTTGATTTCAGTAGACCAGCGGCTTTCAATCTGGGGTCCACAAATCTCTGGGGTAATCATAGAAGTTTGTTAAAAATGTTCCCGATTCTGAAACCGAAGTAGAGTCAACACCTTACCGAAAATAGTGATTATTTTTATGACCTTTAATTTATAAATAATATTAAAGCAGTCGAACAGCTCATTTAGAATCGCTGAACATTATTTTGGTCTACGGTTTCCTATGGGAAACGTAGGAAAATTTTGCTGAAATAAATTCTGTGGTACACAATACAATTATCTATCATTTGAGTTTGTGGTCGGTTTGCTACGTTACTATTTGTGTGCTATACATACCTTGACATAATAGGTAGATAGGTACTCTTTTACTAAGAAACTACAACAGTTAATAATTTTGGGGTTTGCTCTCAAAAAGTTTGGGAATCGCCGTCGTAGAGCATACAGTAACGTGTGTGGTTAGTGTCAGGGAGTGGTCTTCATTATACTAATGCATGCTTTGTGTTTCATTACGACCGTTTAGTCTAATTAAGCGTGCTGAACTGTAAATAAATAAATATACAATCTACTGCTGCTTTTACACTGCGCGGAAAGAAGAACGGTCACGCCCCATACAAAAAAACCCAGACCCGACAGAAACGAGACATACCTCAGTTTTTTTGTCATCTCTTAATTAGTTAAATTATATATTTATTATATTCGAAATCTATGTATAACACCAAAATATTACCCTTTGTTTTTATTTAGGCGTTATACAAAAACTAATACAAAATGCTTATTTATCACCAAAATTGGTAAATGTATGTACCTAAATGTCTATTACAGCTGCTATGGAATGTATCTAGGTGACCTGGAGATACAACCGGATTATACAGGATGGTTATACATATGAAACGATAAGTGA